CTCCCTCCATAAATCTGTCACTGGAAAGCCATTCAGGCCTTCTCAGCCCAGCCCTTGATTTAAACTGCTCCAGGAGTCTAGCTGAAGATAAGCCCAGGACAGAATCCAACACAATATTCTCGTCTCCTCCCCTGCTCCCTGGAGGATGGGCTGCTCACCAATTTTGGCCACAGTAACAGTTATGTAGAAGAGAGATTCATTATAGTTTGGGCATAGATCTTAAGCAGTGCCCATGCAACCTGGTGACAACATTATTTAGCATTCAGATTGAATGTGAGCTCTTACTGGGGAAAGAATATTGCTGAAGATTAGCATTCCTAGGCCCTTGGAGCACAGAGTGGCAGCCAGGAAAGACACATACTTTCTCTATTGAATTGACAGGTGTAGCCGCATCCCCTAAGTATGATGAATACTTTGCAGTAACATATAACAGAACCATTTTCTTTTTTTTTTAGAATGCTAGTTCTGGCCAAATCAAATAATATCCATCCCTGATTGTTCTGGTTAGAGAAGATTAAAAAAAAAAAAACAAAGATATTTAAAGTCCAGACCTGTGGGTAATCCAAAACTCATTTACACCGGGCTTTAGAAGGTGTGTTGATACTTCTCCAGATGACATGGTCCTCGAGGTTCTGGGAAAGTAACTCGCCATGTAGCTGCATCCTCCCCCAGGAAAACCTAGGAGGCAAAAACCCTTGGCCATCTTTCCTTTTCTCCTCCCTTCCCACTTCTGCCTTTTCTGCACTCCCAGTCTTGTTTACCATCCCAAAACACGTGCCCCACACCTCCACCTTCCTGTCTTTCTGCATCCCATCCCAGGCTGTTTGGGTTTCAAAGAAACACTCTGTGTGCACAGCAAACAGAAAGCAGTGGACAGCGCCATGGCATTAGGAAGAAGCACACAGCCTTACAAGCTCTGGGGGATCTGGAAGAAGCCAAAGGAACAGCCACAGACTTGCAGAGATGTGCTTTCCGCGACCCTTTCTGGAGTGGGAGCTGGGAAGGATACGGAATACCCCTGAGCCCATGATGGGCGAGAGGGACAAGGAAGGCACTGCAGTGTGAAGATCCCAAAAGGTACTCATGGAGTTTCATCAGGGATTGAGAGCCAGATCAGCAGTAGGCACAGTTGTGCAGGAGCAGGAAGAACGGAAGGGAGATCACAGGGCCTGGAGATACGTGTGGGCCTCGGTGGGGTCCACCTTCACCCTGTGTGGGGCTTGCTAGACAGCGCTGGCTCTGGCCAGCTAAGATCCCAGTTAAGTGTCTAGAACTGAGGGTGATGAGGGAGGAGGAGGACAGAGAAATGAACAGAAGATCAGAGGAAGGAGGGAGGTGAGCACTCACCGAGAAAGGGCCACTTCCGCGTCCCTACTCCTGGGCCCTGATTAATGGCGGGAGGCGCGCGTCCACACACATCAAGGAGAGCTAGGCCCGAGCTTTTCAAGCCAGACCTCACAGGAAAGAAAAGTCTGAGGAAACCCGAGCAGGGGCTAAAGCCGAGCCAAGGAAAGGGGTCACATTAACGTTTTCAAAATTTAAAAAAAAAGCCCAAGAGTAGAACAGTGAATCCACTGGCCCCAGAGGTCCAACAGTGCATTCGAGTGTTTTATTATTGCTATCAAAAAGATGCCGGGAAAGGAAGAGGAAGAAGGAAACATGCTTTTAAGTTGTGAGTTCCTTTCTTCTTCCCTCAAAAAAGAAGCATTTGAGAGACGGAGCTGCAGATTATTGTTGTCTATTTTGGGAGGCGACGCTGGAGTCAGGGGACTCCAAGCCGCTGGGTGTGAGTAGATTTGAGGCGTCTGCGAACATGGGGGGCCAGGCTGGCTGGACAGGCCTGTGCACCTGGGCCTGATGCTCTCACATCCAGCCGCTGACCAAGACAGCAGAACCATCAGGCTCTGGCTGTTCCCTTCAGCTCTCTCCAATCTCAAAGGGAAATTTTTAAAAAAAGAGAGCGAGAGAGAGGGAGAGAGAAAACCCTTCCCAAAGAATATTCCGGACTCAATGCCAACCTGAGACAGCTGCTAATGTTGAACAACACATCAAGGACCCACTGTCCCTTCCTGCCCCCCCTCCACCACCACAGAAAGAACTGTGAAAAGACCAGGAGTTGGTGGGCGGCCAACAAGAACTAAAGAACTTGCAGCTGGTAAACCACCTGTGCCTTGTCAAATTCCAGCCCAAACAATCCCTTCCCCAGAGTCTCTGGGTTAAGGAGAAGGGGAGAAAATCTGATAATAAGATGAGAATCGAGCGGGTGAAAGTGAGTGTGGCAGCTTCTGACCCCACGCTGAGCCAGTCGGGGAAGAGAAGACTGGAAATTGTGCCAGCAGAGGTCAAAAATCCAGCCCTGTATTCATGAGCAAGAAAGAGAACAACAACTGTAAGCAACCAAGCCAAGCAGCCCCAGCTCTGAGTTCAGCTTTCCGGAGGGACAGAGCTTTGCCACACCAAGGCTGATGGCTGGATCATGTGGCAAATCGTGTAAGGAGGGCGACATGAGTGCAAGAGCCCATGGGAACATTCCAGAAAGAGCCTCTGGCCCATTCCAGTCGCAAAAGTCGATGCTGTTTAGTAGCTCAGCCACTAAACACTAAACCCTGATTGTATGTATGGTCTACTGTAGAAAGTTTGTTCAGGAGGCCAAAGTCCCAGTGGCCAGACACTAGGACCTAGAGGTCCACTGGCAGCCATGACAGTAGACAGAAGACCAGGGAACACAGCACATCTTTGGATGATGTGCATTCTCATATCTGGTCTCCAATGTGCTCCTCTTCCAAATGCATTTCTTCTCTTTCTTCTCCTTGGTGGAAACGAAACTGTCCTAGGCCTAGTTATTCCTCTTCTAGCTGCAGGAACTAAAAGAAAGCACCCATTCATCTGAAGCTCTTAAAGATGCTGGCCGTAAGGTGAGAAAGTTCTCCTTGTGCAGTGAGTGAGAGGGCTGAATCTCTGGCATGACCTCTGGCCAGGTTAATGTGGTATGAACAGGAGCTGGGCTACTGCTGACATCCCCAGTGGAAAGCTGCATCCCAGCAGATAGTCTTCAAAGACGACCAAGTCATCCTCTGTGTTCAGACTTGTTTTCAAAACATTTGTTTATTGAATGGATGGCTGTCACCCCTGTGAGGCTTTCTTCAAAGCATCTAAGAGAGTGCTGTGATCAGGATGGTGACGATAAAGAAGTCACCAGTCATATGCACTGTGAAGACCTCAGCAACCCACTGCCATTTGTCATGGGAAAGAGGGGTGTGACCAATGATGATGGAGAAAGGGGATTGTTTTCTAGTATTAAAGTCTGCAATTTAATCACAAGGCACATCTTCATTATAACAAATTCAAATAATAAATGTTCATTACAAGCTTCCCCTCCTTGGCAACACCCTTGTGGTATTCCCGCCCAAAATGGACAACTTTGACCTAATTATGAGGAAACACCAAACAAACCCTGACGGAAGGCTGTCCCACAAAATATTTGACCTGTTATGTTCAACAAACGTAGAGAGTAAGAAGGATGCCGAAAGTCAGAGGGCTCTTCCAAATTAAAGGGCACCAAAGAGCTGTGACAACCACGCAAAATGAATAATCTTGGATCCTCTGCTGGACCAAGAAAAAAAAAGTAGCTGTAAAGGAATTCCTGGGAAACTTGATAAAATTAGAGTATGCCTTCTGTAATAACAGTTTTCATTTTTAATTTCCTGGCTTTAATATTTGACCAAGATTATGTGAGAAAATGTCTTTGTTCTTAGAAAGTAAACCGCTGAGTTACTACAGGAACAGTTATCTCCAGCTCTCATGGTTCTAAAAGAAAAAATGTGCAGAGATGAACACGTGCATAGAGAGAAAGACAATGCATGTGGAACAAAACGAAAAAAAAAACAGTGAATCTGGGTATAGTAGGTCCTTGAACTATTCTGACAACATTTTTTTAAGTTTGAAAGATTTTTTTTTTTTTTTTTTGGTTTTTTTGAGGCAGGGTCTCACTATGTAGTTGAGACTGACCTGGAACTCACTATGTAGTCCAGGCTGGTCTCGGACTCATAGTGATCCTTCTGCCTCAGCCTCCCAAGTGCTGGGATTACAAGCGTAAGCCACCACGTCCGGCTTGAAAGAATATTTTTAAAACAAGGCCTCTTCAGTTCTCTGCCCAGGGAGACTATTTACACACCTGCAGACCAGTGCACCCTGTCTGCCACAGACTCCTAGAACAGTTCCAAGTGTCCCAGCCTGTGGTATTCCTATGCTGAGAAGTCTCCCCTCCTTTGTGAAATGAAACCAGGGACTTGTTTCTAACAAGAAGAACACTGCAAAAACGATGGATGTTGCTTCAGAGATTAGTTTATAAAAGGCTATGACTGGCCAGGCATGGTGGCTCCTGACTGTAACCCCAGCTCTCTGGGAGGCTGAGGTGGGAAGGTCACAAGTTCAAGCCCAGTTTGGGCAATTCGGCAAGCCCTTGTCTCAAAAAATGAGAAAGGGTTGGGGATGTAGGTCACTATGAAGGCATTGGGGTCAATGCCCAGTATCCCACACAAAAAAGCCAGTGATCTCCACCCGTTTCCCACTCTCTGTGTCTCTTCTCCCCTTTTCACGCTGTCAGAAGCTGGGGCCATGTTGTTAGCTGCTTTCCGCCACTATCACAAATACCTGCAGTCATCCACGTATAAACAGCAAAGGCTTATTTCGGCTCACAGCTGTGGAGGACTTGTGGCTGTGGTAGGATGTTACAGCCCCAGCACCTGGCAAAACTGCTCACCTCAGGGCTGCCTGGGTTGCAAGAGAGAAAGGAATGGATTGGAGTTCCACAGTCCCCTGCGGACCACGTCCCCAGGGGCTGGAAGACCTCCCACCAGGCTCCACCTCCTCCCAGGAGCGCCAAGCCTGACATCCAGCCTTGAACACGTGTGCCTTTAGAGGGCGCTCCAGAGGCAAGGAAGTGAGAACCCCTGCACGCAGCCATGGGGCTGAGGCCTAGACGCGACAGCAGGCAGGACTCCATATTCCTGCCAACGGCCACAAGTGAGCTTCCCTGGGGCTGAGCCGGCCGAGGCCTAGGCCAACACCTTGACGGTACCCTTGTGAGAGACTCCGACCCAGAGCATCCAGGTAATCAACACCGAGAATCCTGGTCCTCAGAAACCCTCGCTTCATAAATATCTGGTCCTTCCTGTGTCCATTTTATTGTGCTGGGAATGGAACCCAAGGCCTTGCACCTACTAGGCAAGCTCCAGCCACTGAGTCATAACCTTACCCACCACGTGTTGTTTTTAAGATGTTGTTTTAAAGAAATCTATTATAAAGTAGTAGATGCTAACATAATCTCCGACTTCCTTTTCTTCTTTTCTCTTTTTCTTTCTCCTCTTGGGGGAGCGAGGTGAACTGTGTCATGAACAGACAGTCATGTCCTCATGTAGAAGACTGTCTTGTTATTTTTAGCCGGCGGGGTTGTTAATATCATGCAGATTGTACCCGCGAAGGAACCCCTGGCAGAGGAGAATAGTGGGAGTTCAGTCCAGCCTGTGCTCCTCTCTCTACGTTGTGTTTCCCGGCACGTGTCTTACTCAGAGTCAAGGATATCTTTGCTTAATTTATACAAAAGTCACCTCTGGGCTAATGGCAGTCTTGTTAACTGTTACATAATATTCCTTGGTGTGAATGTATTATAATTTATTTAACCAATCTTATCTTGCTCACTATTGATATTTCTTCCCGTATTGTTATTGCAAACAACCCTGTAATGAGAAAGATCATTGTATATAGATCTTTATATTCCTATGCAAACATTTCTGAAGAAAGGAGTTCAACATAAGATGGCCCTCACATCTTTAATATTCATAGATTCTCACCTTACTACAAAATTTTTACTGGTTTATACACCTAGCATGTATAAAGAAGTTGCTTGTTTCCTTATCCCCTCACTAATGCTGGATGAAATCAGTCTTTTAAATATTTGCCCATCTGATAAGTGAAAAATTTTATCTCACAGCTTAATAGATCATTTGTAGCAAACCAAATATTTTTTAACTTTCTGTTCTCTGAGTGAAGAGAATTTCTTAGTAATACTGAGTCAGTCTCTTCCTCAGATATGAAGGCAAGGTTGAATAAATCTGCGAGAGATCAGAGAATCTGTCTTTACCCAACCAGTGTGCATTCACTCAGCCCTATCTCTTGTGTGAAATGTGAGCAGGCAAGAAATACAATGCCAGGCGCATGTAGTTACGTGTAAAGTTTCAGCAAAGGTCTTCCAGCATTTGACTTTGTGATTACAAGGCTCAATAAAAATTTTTATGACTCTGCCAGATTTGCTTGTTTAGCCACTACCACATGCTTTACAAATGGGATCGCTTTCATTCAGCTATTTTGATGTAAGTTGCTTGAGCAGAACCAAATGCCAGTGAGAATACCAAGGTCTATCGCATGGTAACTTTTGCTTTCTTCCTAGACATATGTGCTAGTCCAAATCCACTGCAAAGTCCACCGCACAGTGGACACCAAGGTGAGATTACAGGTGTAAGAATTTTGTTAGAGGAATGGCCTATGCTGGAAAACAGTGAAGAAACCAGGAAAGGCTGGAAGAGTTGCCAGTCAGTGCTGTGCGCCTGGGCCCCACCCAGGGAAGGAGAGGAGCGCAAGGAGAGGACTTGCATTTTGAGTTTCTTGCTTCCATAATTTCTGTGCAGTCGCTTACCATACTCCCAGATAATGAGATGAGATTTCTGTCCGGTGAAGGACTGCGTAGCTTTGCTGAGTCTCATGAGCAGAAGATGGAGACCTGCCAGATAGGGATGTGGCTGGAATTCTGCGCAGAAGAAACCAAGGAATGAAGAGGAATTGAGGCGTGAAGAGAAGAGGGGAAGTCAGAGAGGAAAGGGACACTTAGAACAACTGAGAAATCTTCAGAGCCAGGCAGCCAAGGAGAAGTTCCATTGGAAAGCTGCCGGCGGAAAATAAAGACTGGCTGCAGAACAAGACGTATTTCTCTGCAGAGCATCAGTCTCTAGGTGTACAACTTTCCAATTTCCTATCTTATTTTTAAGTGCTAGATGTTTGTTTGTTGTTTTCGGGGAGGGGGGGAGTCTCTGTACCTTTCTAAATTTCTGTCTCTCTTTCTACTTATGCTCCAGAAATACCATCCTGTTTTGAATTCCAAGCAACAATCCAAATATTTTGTTTGATTTCAAGATTATTTGTATCAAATATTCTTTTAGAAGTTCATAAGAACTTGGACATACCTCGTGTTTTGCAAATACTGTCGCAATTATTCAGTCTGTGTATGTACACGTTTGTGCCCATCAAATTTTTGCCTTATCTTTTAGATTGTAAACACTTTAGGAATATCCTTAAGGATACTAGTATTTTCTATCATCCCTAACTTTCTCGCAATGGGATCATAACTTGATTGTGATCATAATGTACAAATCCTGCAAATCTACATACAAAAATATTTTATTCACAAGCTAATCCAAATCCAATAGGCTTCCTGTTATCTATTTCTTCCATCACCTCTCTGCTGCATCTGTTGGAAACTGTTGATCAGAGGTCCCTTCTTCCTGGGTTCCAACGGTGTTAACTTCTGGGCTCTCCTCCTAGCTGTTTGCTCTCTTATTCTCTCTGATGATCTTTGGCTTTCTGTCATCTCTTAATTTCATATATCACACACTGATCTTTGTAAAGCCTTCCACTTCAAATCTTCCGTTATCACCTTTAACCTAATACCCCTGTTTATAGCCCCAAATCTTACTTAGCATCTGGCCCTCCAACTTCCTCTAGGGTGTCTCTAAATTACTGTAATTGCTAATTCCATTCCTCCAATCCATTCTCATGCTGACACTTACACATTTCCATTCACCGACTGCACTGCTGTGTCTTCCTTTCACTCAAAGGAAATTTTGGTATCTGAATTCTGGTTTGCTCCTCTATCCACCTGTGACTGCCTTGCCAAATTTTATTTACTTTTTGTTTGTGAAACAGTATATCACCTGCCTGATTAACCTCCAATTCTAAGGCTTACTGTGATTTTCCCAGTTCTTTAGGATTGAAGTGAAAATAGACTCGGATCCGTTTTCACCATTTAGGAAGAAAGCTTGGCTGTTTCCCAGTTTTTCCAGAATATTCTGGGAATCACAAATTTCAGCTTGTTGTCCTGGTCTGTATTTACTGCACCTAATAATTTTCAGCCATCTTAATAGCTTATCTTATGCAGTCATTCACATTCTGAATAGTTCTGTTAATCAATATGAAATGTTCTTTGCTTCTTTTGATCACCTTGGCTTGAGTCCACTCTGACTGAACATGGAACAGCTACTCCTGTGTGGTTTTAGGGTTCCCACTGCATAGAATTTTGTTTTCTAGCCTTTGATTTTTAGTCTATGAATTTCGTTTTGTATCAATGTGTTTCTTGTATACAGTATACTGTTGGATTTCGTTCACATTTTGTACTCTCTGTGTAACCCCAAATGCAAAGTGGCTGTTTCCCCTCTTTTTAACCTAAGTACTTCTTACTCAACAAATTTCTACAGAGCAGGCTTTATTGAAGATTTCAGTCATAATAATGAGGGTCTCCTGTGATTGCCCTCAGGACAGACAGCAAAACTAAACACTCAACTCCATCTTTAACAGTTAATTACTTATTTATTAATGTCACCAGGGACTGGTTACTAACTGTTCCTTCTGCAAGGGCCTCAGCTCCCTGATATTTCCAAGCACCTTCTCTCCCACTTAAGCTCCTATGAGGTATGAGAGAAAAACTCAATTATATTTAAATTTAAAACAATTTGTTACAGTAAAAGACACATTGCCATTAATCATCTTCAGAATACTTACCCTTTGCTTTCAGCACACTCATCCCATTGTCTTTGTCAGTTTCTGAAGCAGCTCTGCAAGTCCTCTTTCCTGAGTGTCTTTAGTTTCCCTGTAGTGGCTAAAGAACATCCTGAATCCATTCAAAACCTTTACCTTTCACGGTCATTCTGACTTTGGGGAAGATCCAGGAGTTACACTGCGCCAGGTCCGGTGAATAAGGTAGGTGATGATGCACTGTAATGTTTTTAGGAGCCCACCTTTCCAGCGGATGGCACTTGGCAGCAGCATTCACAGTATTTCTGGTCACACTCACATGTGTGACGGGATATTTCTAACAGCAAGACCTCTTTGTCTTCTGAGGCTTTGCATTCCCTTGCTGTGTCACCCTCTTCAAGTGTTTTGCCTTGCTGCACGTGAAGATCTGGCTCCAAGCATCAGCACTGCTGGGCCTAGTTCTACCCCTTGGGGGGGCCAAAATACGCCTGACCATTCCTGTACCAGAGGAGTACTGTGTTTAAAAATAGCAACATCCTCACACAGAGAGAGATTTAAAATGCCCTGTGTCCTCCAGAACACTTCCCTGGACTTGTTTCTAAGGCCTTTCTCTATGCCAGCCATTTTCTTGGAACATACTATCCTTCATTCATTTCTTTTAAAATGTAGCATCTGGACATATTCCATTGGTCTTCCAAATGCTACGCAGTAAGACAAGAAAACCACCTCCTTCATTTTTTTTTTTTTTTAGATTTTTTAAAATTGAGTTTATTGGTGCATTTTAGGTATACGGTACAGTTACATTCATTATTGGGATCTTGTACCTTTACATGAGAGATCTTGGTTCTCATTTTTTCCCCTTGTCCCTGCCCTCCCTTCACTCTCTCCTCCCCTCCCCATTTAAAAACACTGTATTTCCATTTTTTCATTTTCTCATATTTTTTTCTTTTCCCTTGTTACCTTTCCCCTACCCTTTCCACTTTCCCTACACCTTTTGCCCTTTTCTTCCTATTTCACATTGTCAGTTGTCTCATTAGGGTCTTTATGTACTATTACAGTTTTTCACACCAGAGAAACTATTCAGTATTTACACATGTGTGGCTTATGTATTTTACTTAGGAGTGTATCTTCAATATGTATCCATTTTCCTATGAATGAATCTAATTTCTCATTCTTTATGGCTGAGTAGTATTCCATTTTATAGAAAAACTACATCTGCTTTATCCAGTTTCCAACTGATGGGCAAATGGGCTATTTCCAAGCCACCTCCTTAATTTTAAACATGAGATACGTCTAATATCTCTCATAACCACATAATTTTGTGTTAATTCATAATTTTTCTTGTATATTGAGCTTTATTTTAGTTAGACTTTCTCTCTCTCTCTCTCTCTCTCTCTCTCTCTCTCTCTTTTTTTTTTGGTACTGGGGATCAAACTCAGGACCTTCGCTTTTGAGGCAGGCAGCAGAACCACTGAGCTAAATTCCCGGCCCTAGCTCTTTTTCACATATTCTATGGCTAAGCCTCATGTGATTGCCATGTAGTAATAGCCTGACAAATGTTCACCATCATTAACAGATGGTATCCCTTCTCAACAATAAACTTGATAAATATGCTTCCCAGGAGATTATGTAAACCACTGGCTTAACCCTTAAAAGGTTCATACAGGATTATGGTGGAACATAGAGTCCATGGGTACCTCCTGCGTGGTGTCAGTCCTGCACTTGAACTGCCTTGGGTATGGATGAGTGTCTAGTTCCTTATCTGCCCTGTTGTCTTTAGGAAACCAAGTTTCCCTGTTTCCCTCAGCTCTGGGTGTGACGAGATCCCCAAAACACAAATATAACTCTGCTTCTGCAGACCTTCCAAGGCCATCAGAACTGTTTCCTACCTTCTTCCCTTCATCCCCACCTTGCCCTCTGAAAACAGGTCTGGAAGTCTCGGGTGGTTTCTGTTACTTTATGTCATCTACTAGGCATGACTGCCAATTCCGCTGAGTAAAACTGCTTTTGGTGAGCACAGTTACAATTATTTCTGGGTATAACACTGGCTCTCTCTGCCAAGAACCACTGCCGCCTTCTGTGTGCCATGATGGTTTTCCATAAAGCACTGTTCCTACTAGAATCTTCAATTTGCCAGAGTGGGCTATGGCTTCTTATAGATTTGGTGAGACCAATTTATTATCTTTTTGAGCTACAGTCTATTGTCTGCACCTCCCACCATGGTGGCCTTGGAAGGAGCTGAGCATGGACTGAATTCCCTGAAACGGTGAGCCAAGTTAATCCTTTCTTCCTTTAAATTGTGTGCGTCTGGTATTGTCCTAGACATGAGAAAGCAGCTAATATAGAAAGAAAGAGTAGATCTGACCCCTGTGGAAATTCATATATAACCCTGGGAAAGAGGTTTTACATATATATTATGAACTCAGGGTAGTTCTTCTTGGGAACTGATGTCTTCCTAAACATTGTTTATGCTATGCTTTGAATGTTTCCCCTCAAGAACTCATGTATCTCATATCAGCCAATTTTATGGTATTAAGAAGCAGGGCTTTAAGAGGTGACTAGGAAATGAGAGCTCCTCTCTGATGAATGAGACTAAGGTCTTTATGAAAGACATTTCCCACGGCATGTGATTCTTTTGCCCCTGTCCCTTCCACCTTCCACCATACTAGAGCACAATGTGCCTGGATGAGGCAGCAGTGA